AAACATTCAATCATTCAAATAAATTACCAGAGTGAGTATAAGTTTTATTCAGTTCACTTTAACAAATGTGTTTCAAGATATTGATTATCTGTAATTATTTAATTATTTAAATAAAGCACAAAATTTAATTCAATTTACTTTAACAATTGTGTTTTAAGAAATAGATTAATCACAATCATTCAAGTATTCAAAGAAATTACCAGGGTGAAAACAAAGTTTAGTTCAATTTGCTTTAATAATTATATTTCACGATATTAATTAACTGTAATTATTCAATTGTTCAAATAAATTGCCATGGTGAGTACAAAGTTTAATTGATTCACTTTAATGATTGTATTTCAAAATATTAATTAATCAATCGTTCAAATAAATAACCAGGGTGAGAATGAGATTTAATTTGATTCCCTTTAAAAATTGTGTTTCAAAAGAATGTGTATTTAACTGTAATCATTTATTGCGGGTTGCAAAAAAATGTGGAATTTGATGATCAAAAAAAAAAAAGAAATCAATGATTTCTGATTCTGATTGCCGATTTTTTTAACATTACTTCTGATGACATATGTATATCAACTAATATTATACTATATAAAGTCTTATATATATTTTTTAGCATACATTTTTTTTAAAAAAAAACATTTCTAATGACTAAAATTATTATCCCGGAACATGCTTTGGATGCACAAAATGTTTTTTGTCAACTTCTAAAATTTATTGTATGAAAAAATATATATATTCCAATAAAAAAGTTATACTAAAGTTCTTTAGCATAATTCTTATAAGATTGAATTTAGTGCAACTTTTAAATTTTCTTCTTGCTTATCATACAATAGTAAATTTTACTGGGCTAGAAAAGAAACAATTTAATATTACACAATCATGTCCTTTACAACATGAATAGTATGCAAAATATATTCCTACAAAGGATGTTAAATCAAAATATGTTACAAAATTATGAATCTACAACTTTTACTTCTGCAAAAAATGTTAAAAAAATCGGCAATCAAAATCAGAAATCATCGATTTCTTTTTTTTTTTTTGATCTGTCAAATTTCACAATTTTTTGCAAACCGCAATAATCATTCAAACAAATTATTAGGGTGAATATAAAGTTTAATTAAATTTACTTTAATAATTGTGTTTCATGATATTGATTAACCATAATCATTCAATCATTCAATAAATTACCAAGGTGAATATTAAGTTTAAATTGATTCTTTAATGATTGCATTTTAAGAGAATGTGTGATTAACTGTAATCATTCAATTGTTCAAATAAATTACCAGGGTGAGTACAAAGATTAATTCAATTCACTTTAACGATTGTGTTTCAAAATATTAATTAATCAATCATTCAAATAAATAACCAGGGTGAGAATGATATTTAATTAAATTCACTTTAATGATTGTGTTTCATGATATTAATTAACTGTAATCATTCAATCATTCAATAAATTACCAAGAAGAATGTGAAGTTTAATTCGATTCACTTTAATGATTGTGTTTCATGATATTAATTAACTGTAATCATTCAATCATTCGATAAATTACCAAGAAGAATGTGAAGTTTAATTCGATTCACTTTAATGATTGCATTTCAAGAGAGTATGATTAACCGTAATCATTCAATTGTTTAAATAAATTAATAGGGTGAATACAAAGATTAATTCAATTCATTTTAACAATTGTGTTTCAAGAGAATGTGTAATTAACCACCAACTTTTCGTATGCCGTCCAACCAGGTTGCTGAATATACGGAGCCAAATCCACCTTTACTGACTTCTTTAACATAGGATAATCTATTAAATGGAATCCATTTAATCACATCTTCATATGCCGGGCTCTAAGTTGGAATTCTTTCATGCAATCATCAATTATCTTTATTTCCACTTGTCCATCTTGTTGTCATGTCAGGGTCGCATGATAAACACCATGCTTTATTTGTGTTATTTTGATTACAATGAACACATCTTCCATATTCAGATTCTCTATATAATATATAATGTTTTATTTCGTATCTGTAATTTTAGCATTATATTGAATGTAAATAATTTTATGCTTACCGACTAAATTAATGATTTGTACGTAATGGTAAATAAGTATTTGTGTTCTTGTTTTGTGTACTTCTTTTGTTATTTTTATTTTCTAAAATAGTTAAATGTTCTTTATACTCACATGCTGAAATGAAATGTTTAATGTAAATGAAATTATTTGTACGTAATGTTAATAAGTATTTAAGTTCTTGTTTTGTAAACTTGCTTTGCGAATAGTTTCTTGTTTTATTTCTAAAAATTATAAAATTTTTATACTCACAGACTAAATTAATGTGAATGAAATAATTTGTATGTAATGGTAAATAATCTAGTTTTGTGAACTTGTTTTGCTGTTTTTATTTTGTAAAAATTATCAAATGTTCTTTATACTCACGAGCTGAAAAAAATAATTAATGCGAATGACATGATTTGTACGTAATTTTAAAATAAGTATTTATGATCTTGTTTTGTGAACTTGTTTTGCTGTTTTTTATGTAAACTTATTAAATGTTCTTAATACTCACCGACTAAATTAATGCGAATAATGATTGTACGTAATGGTAAATAAGTATTTATGTTCTTATTTTGTGAACATATTTTACTGTTTTTATTTCATAAAATTATTAAATGTTCTTTTACTCACCGACAAAAATAATGCGAATGAAATGATTTGAATGTAATTGTAAATTAGTATTTATGTCCTTGCTTTGTGAACTTGTTTTGTGAATTGTTTTGCTGATTTATTTCTAAAAATTATTAAATCTTTATACTCACAGACTAAATTAATGTGAATGAAATGATTTGTACGTAATGGTAAATAAGCATTTGTGTGAACTTTTTTGCTGTTTTTGTTTTGTATAATTATAAATTGTTCTTTAACTCACATGCTGTATGAAATGATTTGTACGTAATGGTAAATAAGTCTTTATGTTCTTGTTTTGTGCTGCTTTTTATTTCGTAAAGTAATAAATGTTCTTTATACTCACTCACTGAATGAAATGATTAATGTGATTGTAAGTTAGTTAATAAGTATTTTTGCTCTCATCTTGTGAACTTGTTTTGTTGTTTTTATTTCATAAACTTATTAAAAATGATTTGTATGTAATGGTAAATTAGTATTTATGTTCTTATTTTCTAAAATTTTTTTGCTGTTTTTATGTAGTAAAATTATTAAATTTTTTTATACTCACATGCTAAATAAATTATTAATGCGAATGAAATGATTTGTGCGTATTGGTAGATAAGTATTTATGTTCTTGGTTAGTGAACTTGTTTTGCTGTTTTATTTCGTAAAATTATTAAATGTTCTTTATACATACGGGCAAAAGTAATAAAAAATAAATATTTATGAACTTAAATTGCTGCATAGATTTATGGATGCGCTTTTATACTTACTCCCTAATAATTAAAAATTGTATAAAAGATTTCAAATATTTTAAACAAAAAAATTGCAAAATATTATAGTAAAAAAATTAAAAATTAACCTACTTCTTGATCCATTTAGAAAATTTATCCACATCCTTATTCACGCCAATTCCATACCAGTAATAAATGGTAGTTTTCCAAATTCCCATAGAATTACCAGCCTCAACAGACTTTAGATAATATGTAAACGCTTTATGCTTGTCAATTTTAACTCCAATTCCTAAATAATAACAATACCCAACTTGATACATTGCGTTAGAATTATCCATGTCGGCTGATTTTTATAACAAATGATTTCCTGATTCTCATCCTTTTCAACACCTACCCCATATTGATAACAATAACCAAGACTATTAATTATTTCAGTATTCCCCATGTTCGCAGATTCTTTGAAATGAGTGAATGCTTTATATTCATCCTTTTCAACGTTAATTCCATGAAGATAAAAATGTCCTAATTCATACGTGTCATCAACACATGGACTTTGTGGTTACAAACTAGTAATTTAAAGTAATAACTGATCGGAAAAAAAAAGTTCAAATCAAATATATATTTAAGAATAAGAATGTATACGAAAATTTACACTCACAATCTAATTATTTAGAAGATAGTTTGTTAAAAAATAAAAAACAGTTTGCACACTTACCAAATTAAAAACAATAATTTATCAAAATCTATTTAGTTATTCATACATAACATAATTCAAAAACAATATTATTATGCTCACTCCCTATTAATTCAACATATATTTATATAATTAAAAAATGAATATATTTGAAAATAGAGTAATATTATATTTACTTTTTAATAATTTCTATAAATTTTTTTGATGCCCATTCATTATTTGATTTAATTTTCAGTAATTTATTAACATCTTTGAAAGATTCTTTAAATTTTTCCAATAAGTAATAGGCTTCTCCTCAATATCTTAGTGCAAATTTGCTGTTTGGTACTATATCAAGTAATTTTGTTAGATCAATAATTGCTTCTTCATAGCTTCCCATAATAAAATTAAATATTCCTCGAAATTTAAGAGCAGTATCTTTATTGATTTTCTGTGTATTTTCTAAATCTTCAAGTGTATATATATTGGTTGCATTAATATACTTATTAAAAAATTTGATCCATTTTTTTTTTCAATAAATCTCATCAGCGTTAGTATCTATTTATAAAGAATTTCAGTATTAAATTACAAATCAAAGAATACATATATTTATAACTATTGAGCATTACCTGCATATTTAAAGTTTCTACTACCAAAATTTACTTCTATAGATCCATCTTGAGGCCCCATACCAACACAAGGATACAAGATGCCTTTTGAATTTCGGAATGTAATACCTTAAAATTTGTGTGATAATTATTAAAACTACTGCGATATGAAACAACAAACTATGAAGTTTTTGTAATAACTACCTGGGTTTATACCATTTTTTGTATAGAATGCAGTGTTATTTTTAAAATTTAAAAAACATCCAATTGTATCGCCAGTAGAAAACAACGGTCCATAACGATTTCACTTCACGAACAGTAAAATAAATTGCCATCATCTCCGTGTTAACCCAGGAATTATTATACCATCCTACGTATGAAAAGCATTAAGAGTTAATATATTCAATATGCAAATAATAATAAAATTTTAATTACCAGGCATTCCTTTTAAATTAACTGACATTTCGCAAAATCCAACTCCAATCGTTCTTTTGAATAGAATATTAAGAATTATAAGTAAAATTTAAATTAATCTATTTTGATTTATAACAAAATAGATTTCAACATACTTATCTTTTCCTTCATCTATTCTGTCAACTTCAAAATAAAATAAATTGCATTGCGGAGGAACTGGATGATTTGCCCGTATTGCACCAAATTCTTTAAAACTTTCGCCTAAACCTATGTATTTAAAGAAATTGTATTTATTTCGAAATGTTAAATAATTTATCATGTTAACTTGTACAAATAGTCCTACTAGCGATTTGCAAATACGCATGATTGTGAGCAGAATTTTAATAATTCAAGCTAGCCAGTCTGCAATAGTATAATCTGATGAAGATTAGTGTACATGTTACTAAACCCCACCTTCGTAATTCACTCTAAGTCCGCTCGAATCTACGCTCAAAAAAATGGATTTATCACCGAGATTCCACGTAAGCCCATGAATTGCGTTAAATTTAGCGAAATATTTTTTATAAAAAAATTTTATCTCTTATGTTCAGAATTTTTATTATGAGATCTCGAGCTATTATTAAATTTGTAGAGGTTTGATAAAAAATTTTAAAGATTAGCTATTAAAATTTTATAATTCAACTTAAATTTTTGTAAATTATAAAAGCTTAATTAAGACCTTAAAACTTATAACAGTATCACGTCTTTAGTAATTTTTTTTTACTAGTTAGGCTAATTTTAGATTTATATGAGTAGAAACCTTTATACTACTGTACTATGCACACGCTTTTTTTATTAAATTTCTACTAACCTACGATTTCATATTCTATGTGAAAATCTCTATGTAAAACACGTATAACTGATAACGTACAGTACGTACGTACGCGCTAATTCTTTTATACCCTTCGCAACACATTAAAAATCACTATATTTTCTATGTGTACCAGCGAATAAATGGCGTGCATGCCGTATCCTAAGAAATCCAATCATAATGAGGGATGTTTACTTAGTCATACATGTCATGAGCGTAAAAAAAAAAACAAATACAGTCACCCAATAAATGTAACCCCTAAGTGCACGTCCTATGAAAGCCTCCCCTCCCTAAATTCACGTCTTCTCTTGGGCCAACTAATATTACGGCTATAGATTTTTACTTCCCTAAATGCTCTCTAAACGCATGCTTTGCTAAAACAAGAATCACATCGTATATATGGATGTAATTTCTGTAAGTCACTGAAATCACATAGGTTACTTTTACATTAATTCTAGATCTCTGAATGATTAAAAAATATATGTATATTATATCCATATAAATTCTTTATTAACAAAAAAAATTATTTTCGAATAAAAAAAAATTACAAAATTCAAGATTTGCGGCCAATTTATTAAGTATAAATCAATAAGTTTTAATTAATTACATATCCAAGCAAAAAAAAACGAGTATTTACAGTTTGCTCTTTGTGTATCGTTAAGTAGTTTAAAATTTTTATTTAATATAAAATTTCACATCTTTGCTTATCTTAAACAAATACTAGAAATATATATCGTATAAGAAAGTTTGATAAGCCGTTATTCTGAAAGTCAAAAAATGCGTAATTTATTTGAAAATTTCGAAATAAAGCAATACTAATTAAAATCAGTTTTATTTTAACTTATATCCTGATATTAACAATGTTAAAAAGCTTTATACTCTAGTCCAACTTTCAAGAAATAGCAACGGAATAAGCTTTTTATTTATCAGTTTATTAATGAAAATTTCATATAACATTGGCGATAATTTAATCTACCGAATGAAATTATTCATCATCTAAAACTCTACAAAAAAACCTGCAGCAATAGCCTTTAAAAGTGTCATTTATTATTTCAATCAATTTTTATAAGTTTTAATTATAAAAATTAAAAAAAAAGGCTATTTCTCGATTAGATTGAATCCTTTAAAAATTTCAAAAAAGTTTCTTATCAAAGAAGCTTGATGCTTTAATATGTAACTTTAGTGTATTCTTTCTTGAGAAAAAAAATGTCAATTTATAATGATATATTTGAAAATTGACAATGTAATAATATATTCAGAACAACGACAGTCAGTGTTTATCGAATATTACTTAACCAGCCAATAATGCTAACCAATTGTATTTAAAAAAACATGATTTTCTTAACGAAATTAATGAAAAAATGTGTAACCTATATGATAAAAAAGAATGAAAGGCCAAAATGTTCGTTCAATTCTTGACACAGTAGATTAATTTCTAGTAATCCGGAAAATTTCCCATTTATCGATTTCATAAACTCCATCGGGCATTATGGACGGTTGTTCATAGCAACCATTTGCTGTTAAATGACAAAAAATACTAAATTAATATTATGATGTACTCTTCCTTGATGAGAAAACACTAAATCATCACCAAATCTTAAAATTAAACTATTAATGTCTTTTATATTGGAGGTCAATTTCTCAGAAGCGATTGCCCGATCAAAATTTAAAACACGACATAATCGATAATTTGTTTGTACTTCTATATTGAACATCAGCTGCATAAGTGTGATGTTGCCAATCGAGGGGATTATAAGCACCAATTACCTT